TATATATATATATATATATTGTAAGACCGCGTGGCTGAGGATCTCACAGGACGATCTCAGCTGTCGGATTATACGCAGTTTGTATTCACTGGGCAGTAGGAACAGACGGACAATGGCGATAGATGCTATATTGAGAACTGTCGAGAACTGGTTCTATGGACAAACGGGTAAATGAACATCGTAAATTAAGAAAAACGTGCTATAAATAATAGCGTAATCAGTAAGGCGGCCGGGTTCTCAGTAGTCAATGTCTAAAAAGTATCAACTGATGTACCAACATGCAGATACGGGCAGTGTTAGCCTTGGAAATAGTCGAAATTGGTCGTATACCACAGCGAAAACCGGGAGGTATTAAGAAAACGAAAAGGTGTCATAATAAACCGGTGAAAATCACGTTACTCATGAGTAATCAGAACAGAAAAGAAAACCGCTGATAGCCGTTGATCCACAGCAAAATAATTCGCAATATCTTTCAAGGAGTACTTGTCATCCTTGTGTTGGGTGCTTTCTCGCTACAATCTGGAATGTAACCAACAAGTTTTGATTGACACTTTAAATGGCGTATATCAAGGAAAATAATTTGAAAACTTGGGAATCGACCGATCTTACCCCAGCACATTTGGATTAAAGATCACATAAAAAGCGATGCGTTTGCGTACCGAATCAACATCTCCTCAGTTTACAAGTGAACGTTGGGCGCAACAAGAACAGAAAACCTACCGAACGGAAAGCTACTGATTGTCTACAAAACCCTTTCGAAATAGAAAACCTCGTCTGAACTGGCGAACGTGACCGAGCTTGAGTGATGCGATTCTTTCACCCGACGCCTCCAACGACGACCAAGGAACTGTCCTGGTTGCACTGATCCATTGACCCGCCTGTAAGGTCTTTACAGTCCGGTAGCGCCACGGACGCATAGCACCTGACTGATATATTTTGATTAGTTGTGGATGCTTGCGGGATACGTAGAATGCGTGCAGTCTATACCAGGAGGGAGACTGAGGACACCCTCGCCTCGTACGTTTGAACTTTGACTGTTGATGAACTCTAATGAGAGCGAAAGTTTGAAATTTAGAGAAAAGGACGAATGTGTTTTCTAGGGTAATAACGATAAACTGGGAAGTGTTGTTACTTCTCAGAGGTAACAGAGGGACTGGAGATCGGTTGAGAGGGATCGGAGGGTAATGAGGCAGTTTGGATACGGATGAGGATTGGGAGAGAGAGAAAAGGGATCTCACCCAAGACGTGATAAGAGCATTCCAAAGTAGGGCGAATATGATATTTGTAGAGTGTTGAAAGTTCGCGAGGAGGAAGGGTAATGTACTTTCAGGACATACCTATGACGATCAGTTTAACATTAGTGGATTAAAGTAGAATACCGAAAAAGTATGGTGAATGAAGTAAAGGCTCGAACAGTAAAAGCTAGGTCTGGAAGAGCATCACCACAAAGTAGCCCGAATTACGGTGACACTGCATGATTAAGTACAGAAGATAAAATGCTAGACAGCAACGTAGATAGAAAACATATGAATGCAAGAGAAAAATACAAGGGGTAGTTCGTTGATACACAAAAATCTGGGACGACAGAGCAGGCCGTTCATGTTGAGTGATATTTAATGGCACGTAGATTTATCGGTATCCCAATGAATGTACAATTTAATTGACCGATCTAATGTACAGACCAGTGGTACAGCACACGCCTAAACTCGTGTTGGTGATAGCTCAGTTTGGAGAGTGATCTTTAGATAACATTCCTTTGGAAAGCTAAGGTTCAAGTACAAATGGGACAGTGGTTGTTTGGATTTCGGAGGAACCTGCACTTGAGGAGGGGAGATACACAGGATGATACAAGGAGAAAGGGGAACACAGAAATGTCAATACATGATGCAGGCCATTTCAGCTTCACTTCACGATAACAGACTAAGATAGATAGCATTAGAGGAAACTCGCCGACTCTCCGCACGAAGTGCACTTTACAGTGTGGTGATCGGAGACAAAGATGCATGGAAGTGGTAGAGAAGTATTAGATCTACGGATAAAAATTTTGCAATGATATCAGATTGTTTGTGGGGAGGATACTAGGGGCACCATGAGCATCTGGAATACGAGAAGGAAGGAGAGGGAGAAATGACGTTCTTCATAAGGGAAGCTTTCATTTGAAAGCTGCTCGGTATCACGGGCAAAGTACTTGCATTTCGTCCTTTCGATGGCAGCTTTGATGCAAGGCAAAAAGATACGTATTTGGAGTGAGTGAAATGGAAAGCACCGGTAAGCTTAAGTTCATATGTGCTAATACCACAATCAATAACACGGAGACAGGAATGATAGGGCCAGTCGGGAGAAGAAAATTCACCCAGTTTGGAGAAATTGGATACGAACAAATACATAAACAAGCAACATCGATTGGAACTTCTATGAAACTTTCGTCAGATGTGGATGGATCACTGGAGGAGTACTAGTTGCAAGACCATGGAGAGAAAAATAGAGGTACATCTTTCCGGTCGATGAAAGAATGCCGCCAGAAAGTACGTAAAAATAGAAAAGAACATTGTGTAGGCCGAGTTAGGTTGGGGCGATTTTGAAAAGAAAATGACCGGAAACTCCAAGTGAGGTGAGTCAGATACAATCGATGGAGTGGGGTTCGTGTTGGGGAAACGTTAAGGGATCATGGAGTCTCATCTTTTCTAACGGGGACATGGAAACGAAAAAACAAAGGTTGGGTAAAACAATTGATAACTGGAACAAATCTTGCCTATCTGTAAGTGCGATCAGCGTGCTTCATATAAGAGCTTTCGGGTGTTTCGAAAGTTGGATTAACCAAGAGAGTAAAACCGGTGATTGTGACCACAACTGACATTCAGGAGGAGAAAATATCCAGACGCGCGTAAACCAGGTAGGGCAAAAATATATTTTTATTCCGGACAAACTATAACTAACAAAATTGCTGGAAATAGAATATGGACTGGGCAAATGAAAACGGACACATAACAGACAGAGAAGAGTTGATGTATGGACACAATCTACCTTCAAAACGGAAACAGTGGAAGAACGAACAACTGAAGGAATGGAGGCAAGTCGTCCCAATGGTCTCGCATTCCGTTAGACTCGAAGCAGTGTGTGCTTCAGAACGTACCGAGAGCTGAGAGCTAGTGGACCTATCATCACTTGTACGTGGGTGTTTGTCGTGTTGACTGTTGGATCATGTAAAGTTCATACAGATCGGGCGGTAGAATAAACTGCCTCTCGAATCACTCATGCTCTGAGGCAACCAAGGTGACACTGTTCACACAACTACGTTTGCATTTTCACATATTTTTCACTCGTTTTTTATTATTTTTTTCTTGTTCCTGTATATACATATGTAACTGACTAAAGCTTTTTCAGTTTGCAAATTGAAAGACTAAGGTGATTTTGGTGGTCCCACCTCGAACACCTGACCAAAGCGATGAATGTGTTTGCGTGTGAAACAATCTTTCCAAAGAAGGCCAGGCCAATTATTCCATACCAGAGTCCTAAAGAATCTCTTAGTACTGAGGAGATCAACGAACATTTATACATACGCTACCAATATGTTTCTTGATAAAAAGTTTAACCCATCACTACGGAAGAAAGGTCATGAGTCCCGCGAACTACGAAACAAGACAAAGGATTTCAAAACTCCACGGCACTCCTAAACGAGTGTAGCCCGCTTGTCAACTCATCAATGGCTTCCAAATTACTCAAAACCTAGCGAAGTACATTTATTTACAAATTAATTTGGTCTTGCGACTAACCTCGAACCCAGCTGAATTTCGTTTGTGATATATATATATATATCCTTATGATTTCCGACTTTTGGCAAATATAATAACTAGGATTTCATCCGCAGTTAGACTACAATGGAACACCCCCCGCAGTAGCAAAAATGCCCTTCAACGATCGTCCAAACGCAGGGTCAAAACATAAATTCTACCGATGGCTTTCATTCTGATTATTAACAGAAAGCTTTCCATGAAATTGTTCTAATACTTAACACCGAATTTTCTGTGACGTGTCATTATGGTCATCCAGAATTTAAAAATCATCCACGATTTTTCAAGCAACTTTGTGAAGAAAAACCTTTGGTATTCATCGTTTACTTCGACAAGCCATCCATTTCGAGAATATCAAACAACCTACTTCAGTAGAGCATTATGTACAGTTTCTCTGGTAATCGCTTGAGCAGAGTTGGGAACATGCTGAAGTAACTCGTTGGATTTTGTCATCGGTTGGAACCGATACAGTTACTGTGCAGCGATTGCCTGGGTGATAGTTTGTTGAGAGGTTAGAATATATATATATAAGGACCACCGAAGTCCTTATGATTTCCGACTTTTGGCAAATATAATAACTAGGATTTCATCCGCAGTTAGACTACAATGGAACACCCCCCGCAGTAGCAAAAATGCCCTTCAACGATCGTCCAAACGCAGGGTCAAAACATAAATTCTACCGATGGCTTTCATTCTGATTATTAACAGAAAGCTTTCCATGAAATTGTTCTAATACTTAACACCGAATTTTCTGTGACGTGTCATTATGGTCATCCAGAATTTAAAAATCATCCACGATTTTTCAAGCAACTTTGTGAAGAAAAACCTTTGGTATTCATCGTTTACTTCGACAAGCCATCCATTTCGAGAATATCAAACAACCTACTTCAGTAGAGCATTATGTACAGTTTCTCTGGTAATCGCTTGAGCAGAGTTGGGAACATGCTGAAGTAACTCGTTGGATTTTGTCATCGGTTGGAACCGATACAGTTACTGTGCAGCGATTGCCTGGGTGATAGTTTGTTGAGAGGTTAGACGCGATAGCGTATCAGCATAGGGACCAGATGACGTTGTGCTAAAACAGTAAACCAAAAAATTGTGGCCCAGAGTTCAAGGCAATCGGTAACACAGAACAAGGTGGAATTGCATATCTGAAGATAGCCAACAAGTTTGTTGTCTACGTGAAGGACAAAATGTCGGCCGCGTGATATTTTTACTCAGTAGAAGGCACTTCCTATTAAATTTGGTTCCCGCAGTTTTTTGCCATCAAAAAAAGTGAGTGACACATGACAAGCAGACATTTTTTAAACGTTAAGAAGCTGATGCAATAGGAACCTACGAATTTCATATTCTGAAGCCACGACCATTAGAATTCCGGGGCTGTATTGTGTTGACAATAAATCTTGTGTAATATACGAAAAGTCTGCTTGACGTGCGTGAACAGTTCCACACAAATAGATGATAGTCCGTTCACAATAGTAGATGGACCCGTATCGGTAAATGTATCAGCCGGGTACTCCTATCTAACTATAAACAAATGTAGCTACGTGACAATGCTTGAATTTTTTATGAGGCGGTACTTCAAAACGGCAGTCAAGGGGTCTCCATCCAAAATCTGATCCCAAACCTCGTCACAAACTGTATGTCCCCACTACTGGTGCCATGAACTGGTTGAATGTGATTAACCAAGACACGGAATCCTTTAATTCCTACGGATGCTCACGTCATATATAGATTCACGTCCGCAAATAACAGACAGTCAAGCTACTATAAGTTGAAAAAGTTATCATGTCTGAACGGCCCCCGCATGGCTACCAAAGACAAGGAGGACACATTCAGGTGAACAACCCCACGCTGAGTGCAGGTATGACAGGCAGCTGATGAGGGATACACTCTTCACCAGATGAAGCGGAGCCACTGGAGCTCGTGCAGCACAAACTTAGAGCTTGACTAACTCCACTCCTTTCCAAAAATATGAATGCGTGCATTACAGGCATCGGATGGGGTACACATCAAAGTAATCATCTCATCTACAAACAAGTTTCTTCAGACCTAAATAAAAATTCTTTAACCGTTTGTCGCTATATCTCAGGATGGGGCGGATAAACTTGACTATATAACCTGTCTCGTTGTCCCAATCACTGTTCTGGAAGCTGGACCAGCCGTGCGGCTATCTACTACAACAGTGAGAGTTAAGTGTGGTGCGTTGACGATGGCGAAGCATCTTCACTGCTGAATACATTCATCACACTATTCGACTATTTTCGACTGAGCTTAAAAATACTATTGGGATAGCCTTCAGGTAAGCTCTGAAAAATGTAACTTCCACTGACTGGGAGGACCTAGCACTAGACAATGTTATCGATAACGACCATCCAAGGCATGAAAAGCGAACCAATCGGAAGGAAATGAATCTTCCCAATGTGGCCTCGACCATGTGAACTTGTTCAACATGTGGACACACGTCGATCTGGCGGGTCACGAGCGTACTCACCGATCCATCTGCTACACGTTATCTCCAGTAATCCAGACAAGTTTGTTTAATTTTCTGATGAGACTCTGCTCGACATTGTCATCCAATGGATGACACTACTAACAAAAGTATTAATGGAATACCGCCAGATTATACATTACCACCTTGACGTGTCGACGGGCATTCCAATAACACTTGAGTGGCGTTATATCGGAGAAAGTGTCCTACTAGAGTGAAACCTAAAGGATGACGCTGGCATCGCGATAGTAAGCGGCAACTGGTGTCAATGGCTTGTAACGGTTCCATCCTGTCGAGCTTATGTCGAGCCTGCGCTCAGCACCACATTCAGCTTCGAGCAAACCGATTAAGGCTTCTCAGTTTGCAAAGATATCGACTGTTTTGAACAATGTTGACCGGAAAAGCCGATTTGGATGTCATCTATTCACGGAATTTTAATGACTCCACCACACATCCTCAAAGCCCTATTATTTGCAATGAATCCCAGAAAACAAGCTCGCGAGTGCAGTACTGTTGTTATAGAACAGACTAAACCTTCAAAGTCAAACGGTTGATGGAGATGATTTGTTTTCATATATGAGTCTGATAACTACCACCGAAGACAACACGAGCTTCACTGCCATAAGACCAGGTAATTTTGATCATGTTCTATGTTGGCAAGAGAAGAAACGGAACACGGAGGAGGAGATGCCACACCTCCAACATTTAGTCAGACAATCCAGCGGCGGAGAGCATGAGCCCCAGTGACAGTCAGACGCCCTGTTCTGGTATCTTCGGCCAAGCTTGAGCCCAGCGCACACCAGATTCTTCGGAGCCATTGGGAGTTAGTTGGACAAGTTTTTTTTAGATTTCATGACCAAGCTGAGCTCATCGTATGTCCAAATTGATGTTCCTAAACCATATTACCCTGTTGAGTCGATTGCAAAAAAGTTACTCGCCTGACCACGACCCGAACAACCTTGTCCCCTGCAATTCGGTGCTACGCTACCTGTGTACTTTCTATCACTAACACCAGAGCCGGCGTTCTCCAGAGCTTGTCATTTCTGCTCAATTGCGCCATTTCTACCGTCACACTTATCTTTGCATCGCTGGTTTCCAGTGACTAGCCACAGATGCGTGACCAGACTCATCTCATCTTCATGCATTCTAAGGATGGCTAAACCATAGAACTCCCACCAATACGACCTTCGTCCTCAAAAAGCGAGTTCAGAGACGTAGAACATCCCGTGCGTTTTATTCGGTACGGTTCTCATGTTCGGAGTTCTCAGCCTTCACAACGATCCTCTTGATTTTAGGATCCATCATTCCAAACAGCTTCATGTTTCCGTATAATAAAACCCCTACTCAGTGTTGATTCTATAAGTGGTTAGTTGGAAACCACCTTTCCAGAGGCGTTAGACCATGATTGCCCACAGGTTGAAATGCATCTTGCCAAAATGTTCCTTTTTAAATTTTAGAAGATAGGGAATATAATCTGTGACACTGGGACATCGCTGATATTGAATCTAACTTGAACTCGTGATAATTCCCTTATCAATTTGCTTACTCCGTTCATGTACCCTTCATTTCTACTTGTTTTGCTTATATATACCCGCCATTCACCTTGCCTCAAAAGCTATCCCGCCCGACACTGAAACACTTCCATGTGTTGTGTGCATCTGACCTATTTACCCATACGTGTTCGTGTCCCGTTTGGAGAGCCTGCCCTGACTTGTTCTGTCATGAGTTCTGTGTGATCGCACCGCAATCACGAGACTGTCCTCGGAAGCAATGCAATGACGTTGTGTTGGTATCAAACTGGTAATTCTGTCTACCGAGCCATCTTCTCGCTATTCTGGTCCAGTAGCAGCGAAAATTGCATTCCCGTAGGAAGAACATGAAATGGAAAACTGTTGAAGTTCTCGGGTCTAGATAATACCGTCGGAGTTGGGAGATCTTCACTGCTATCGGGCAACTGCGGGGAAATAGAGCTTTGTTTGAAGACAAAGGTCAGCATCGAAATAAATAAGAGATAGCCCCTAGTCGAAGGTTCAATAATTATTCGAATCATCATTTAGGACAAAGAACTAAATCGATAACCTTGATGCAAAAATCGGCGCAACCGGTCTTTTAATAGTTTCGTGGAACCTCACTAAAAAAGATGACCCGGACAATTGGCGTCAAACTATCTTCTAAACGAATGAAGATTTCGATTAAAAAGAAGAGGGAGCGAAATGACTAAGTGGTTAGAGTACGAGTTTACTGAACGGAAGGTCCGTGGTTAGAATCCGACCTCAGCACCTCCACTTTCCTTGTCCGGGCTTGGGTAACCTGGCAGTACCCCAGCCCTTGTGCTTCGTTCGGGCGACATGGCAGCTACGCATGAGCCATGGCACCGAGAACAAATATGGCTCCATCAAAGTATGTACTCACGCTCTGATAAGTATACAACTGTACACAACTTGAGAATAATGGAATCTTAATCCTTGAGTAGTGAACAGAAAAGAACAAGTTTGCTAGTCATCAAACTTGGTGTGTTGATGAAAGTTGGAACGGGGTCGTTTGAAGTTGGTCGATTCAGTCGAATCTGTCAAAGAATGTTTCTGTCCTCTTCTATCACCGAATTCAGATTGACGTGGAAAAGAAAGACGGTTGGTCGGGCCACCACCTCCACGACCACCCCGCCAACCGCGTGAAGAGCCGCGCCAAGGTTGACCACGGGTATTTCCCCCATTAAAACGACTGCGAGGCTGTTCATTAGAGTTATCTTCGTGCTCCAATTCGGGTAGCTCAGTTAGGACTTCCAGAGCAGCTGAAGTTTGTGACTTCTTCCAGTTGGAAGAAACCGTTTCACTGAAGTTTGTAGGCAGATCAAAGACGACACCCTGATGAGACACAGAAAACCAAGCATGGCTAAGAAGTGTGCAAAGAATTACAAAACAGGGCAAGAACAGTGACGCAAGCTAAACATAACAACTACCCTGTTTTGAAAGAATAGGCCACACTGCACCGCTTTATCACGCTTGAATTGACGACAAAAGGTCAGTATGGATCATCACTGCTAGAGCACAATGACAATAATAAAACAGGAGCACTTTCTAAGTCTGGTGAGCACTACTCAAAGGTAGTTAAACCGCTCTAAGGGGACAGGACGTTCCTCGTTTGTGCACCGGACACTGAACGAATGGCCCAAACAAAAAGACGTTTGGAGTGAACCACAGTTACCAACTTTTAGAAATAAACGTTGCATCATTGCCTTAAGAGTCAGACCACCTATCAAATGCTTCAACTCAATCCGAGTCGGTCTCTTCCGAGGTAGTCGACTGAGAAGCATTCTACTCGATACGAATTAGGGGGAATGACCACTCGTTTTTGATTAATTACAACTCAAATGGAAGCTACTCAATTTCACCATTATCCGAGCGAGCCGTTGTATCGGATGTGCAGATTCTGCAAATTTATGATTACCACGTTCTCCTCAACCATACAACCAAGGAAAGTAAATCACTACTTCTGGTCCATTAACTCTGTCTCGCATCAATGCTAGCAGGTCAACAACCACTGGTCCGCATCTTGGTGGGGTTGAACACCGATCTGACCTGACTGGCAAAAACCGCTAAACCTGATTCCAACGAATGCCTTCTCCGAAAATCTCGGTACCGAATTTCCAACACCTACGCTTTTCCGGAAACTAAGAGAATTCGGCATATGGTCATGCAGGCGAGGAAATTGTCCTAAACAGAAGTGTTGCTTGAATGAATCATCATCATCATTATTCTTATCATTACCATCGACAGCATGACATCAGTGTTCAACACCGATGCTTCACTGCCGTACAACCATGACTTATTTGAAAGCCTTATTGTAAAGAAAAGAATAAAGGTGGATGGGGGAGGGACTTAGTGCTAGCTTAACACAATCATTCCGAGGTGCCTACACCTCCAGACATTCACTCAGGCAATCTGGATAGAAACTGACAACAAGAACGCCACTGACATCGGTTGGCAGCCATATCTTGTAGTGTCTCCAACCAGGCACAGTGAGGATCACGCGGTCCCCATCCTGGAAGGCGAGTAGAACCCAAGCGTTTCTTGATCTCCTTCATACTCCTCTGACAAGTCAAGGGTTGGCCACCTCTCTGCTTACGCCACTCCGAATTGCGCATGGAAAACAGTACTCTCTTCGGCAAACGATGGTTCGGCATACAAAACACATGTCAGAACCAACGCAGCTTCTGGTGCTGGACACATTCTTCAATGGAAGTACCCGTTACACAACCGAAAACACGCTTTCTAACTGCCTC